TGCTGTAGGAACCCTGATTTAAAGAGTCTAACAAACTGTCAGACTGTTTTAAATCATAAGTCTTCATCGCCTAATGCGCTAATTGCTAGCATGCATTTTTTTATCACATTCCAAGTCTCCTCTGGTGTGCTTGACAGAACACCAGAGAAGTCGATGTCGCTCTGTCATGCAGCATGGCTAAATGGGAGCTATTTAGGTGCAGTTAAGGAGTTTATATTTATGAAAAGAACCACGTAAAGTTCAGCATGATCGCTCTGCCAGTACTTCTCTGATAAATACCAGTGAGGGTCTGATTAAGAACGACTAATCCTGTACTGGATGGCAGGAAAACTACAACGTTGAAAGAAAGCAACATTTTATCAGTTAACCAGATGGAAAAAATTAGAATCTAATAAACCATTAATTGATAATTAATCATAAGTTGTTTATTTGTTTACATCTCGAACTGAGACCTCTAAGGAATAGTTTTTCCCGTGAGCTGATGGGTCCTGGATCCGCAGGAACTGAAGTCTGGTTTCCTTTGATGTTTCAGGACCCGGGAGGACACGGTGAGGCAGATCATCGCCGGGCTGACGGGCGACGCTGAAGCCTGTAACGACTTGGCCTCGGAGCTCTCCAGAGGAGACCCGGTGACTCTGGAGATGCAGGACAGCGACGACGAAGGCAATGACCCCGAAGACTGGACTCCGGATCCCACCGACGCCGTGCCTGGTCAGTGAACGCACCTGTCTCTACCTGCGGAGCTGTTGGACGGATTCCACCAACCCATGTCGTTGTTTACGCTTTCCAGATAAACTGGGCTCCAGCCGCCGCTCGTCTGACATCATCAGCCTGCTGGTCAGCATCTACGGCAGCAAAGACATCTTCATCGACGAGTACAGAGCCGTGCTGGCCGACAGACTGCTGCACCAACTCAACTACAACACGGCCAGGTGTGGACCCAGCAGAACCTCTGACCGCCATCAGTGCCAGGTCCCTCTGACCTCTGACCTGTTTCTATTCAGGGAGATCCGGAACGTGGAGCTGCTGAAGCTGCGGTTCGGAGAGTCTCACATGCATTACTGCGAAGTCATGCTGAAGGTACGATTTCCGTCCACCAGCCACCTCAGAAGATGTTCCTCCCTCTACTTTAATGTGTCTGCGTCGGGTTGCAGGACATGGCGGACTCTCGCAGGATTAACAGCCACATCCGTGAGGAGGAGTCAAAGCTGAGCCAGGAAGAGCAGCCGCCGCTCGCTCTGTCCGCCATCATCCTGTCGTCTGAGTTCTGGCCCACGCTGAAGGAGGAGAAGCTGGAGCTCCCTGCTGTCATATGCCAGGCCATGGAGGCCTACACCCATCGCTACGAGAAGCTGAAGGTAGACTTCTCTGCTAAATCACAACCATCAAACCATTTCATTTCATATCATTTAAGTTTTATGTGCTACAGCAGGGGTCTGCAAGCTTTCATGTGCAAAGAACCAATTTGCTCTGAGTCCAGCTAATTAAAACTCGTTTAGAGCTGCAAAATATTACATGATTTTTTTATTAAAAGAATATGGAGCTAAATCGGTCTCAATTTTCACAAATTCACATGTGATTCATGCATGGACAGGAAAAACTCCACACACACACTGTGCACAATTCACACAAGAGGTTCACACATGCACAGCGCATGATTTGCCAAAATATTTAAGGTCACATATGTGTGTTTGTGAAAATTGAGACTGATTTGGCTCCATTAAAAAACAACCTATTATTTTTATTAAATATAGAAATCTGTTGCCATTTCAAATAACCAAGAACTCATTTGGATTCTTTTCAAATAATGAAAAATATAAAACAGTTAATATAACTGAAACATGGATTTTTTTCTGTAGAGTATTAATTGATGAAAAAAAAAAGTTAACCCTTTAAAGCCCGATCCAAGAATAAAACAAAACAGAAAATAACTTTTTTTTGGTTTGAAGTCCTTATTTGGCCTTTTAACAAAATATGTAAAAAGAAAAAACAGAAATACATTTTTTATATTAATAATTTATTACTATGCGATAAGTCAAGGTTGTTTTTTGTGTAGTCTTCTACTGGCTGTTATCAGGTATATCTGATTGTGTAAAATAGGATTTTGAGCAAAGTTTTTACCATTAAATTCTGCAAAAGGTGTCAAAACATTTCAGAAACCGTTTGTATCAAATATGATACATTTGGCATTACAGGGTTAATAATAAAACACCATGTTTTCCCATTTTAATTAAAGGAAAAATAGCTCTCATATTTCATCTTATTTCTGGTCCATTCAGATATTTTCTTATGAAACCCACAAAAGTGTCTAAAACTGGCATTAAATCTTATTATTAATTATTTTGTCATTTATTTATTTTTATTTATTAAGAGCCATTTTAGAGGGTCCAAAGAGCCACAGGTTGCAGAGCCCTGTTCTACAGGAACCAATAAGAAACGTCTGTCTTTGGTTTGTGACTGAAGCTTTCTGGGTGTTTTTAAGGCCATGAGGACGCTGAGCTGGAAGCCTCACCTGGGCTCCGTCACTCTGGACCTGGAGCTGGAGGACAGGACCCTCACTAACCTCACCGTGTCCCCCATCCACGCCGCCATCATCCTACACTTCCAGGAAAAAAGTACGATCTCTGATTTCAGCCTCTACTGTGGAACAACTCACCAGCTTAACAACACTATTCGTTAAGCT